CCCCCCCCCCCCACGGAGGAGGTGACCGCAGAATATATTTTCTTTGCACTGCTGCTGCTTGGCATACTAGGCTCACAACTGATTACATTTCTAAACGTCGTCACGGTCGATCCGCGCTTGTTGATGTCGATGCTGAGGGGACGTGGGGACCTGTGTGCTGAGGCCGTCTCATGCAGAGCGACAGGCCGTGGGTCGCTGTGAAGGGCAGAGTCGCTTTTCCTCTCGGGAGGATGTTAGTATGGCGGGGGGGGGGGGCGGTGTGGGGAGTCCCCGCCGGGCGGCAGGGGGATTACGCTGGAGGACCCAGTGCATTCCTCCCTGACATAATTGGCTGGTTCCGGCATTGTTCTTTGGCTGGGAGGGGGGAGGTGTGCACCCTACCCCCATTACATCACTCAGGGGGAAAGCATTCGGTTTTGGAACATTTCCAAAGGTCTCTCCTACCTTCGGAGAAGTTCCTCTGGAGCTTTTGGCGATGTTAAGTTATAGTAACCGTGTCTACAGGGTGTTTAGAACCCTCTGTTTGGGGGGGGGGGGGTTACTGGCATGCAAATTAGGCTTTTACTTCAGTTTTAATCCACAGCCTTCTGTGAATCTGGTGCTGTAGTGGAGGTCATAGCAAAGTGCACATTAGGGACTGAGTGAAATGCCATCAACCTGCCCGTGATTTACATGCCTGTAAATGACATTTACGAAGTTAATAGTGGATATTATGAATGGCATACAGACTAAATTCATTTAGTAGCATTCTAAATGTTTTTGGAGGTTCATTAAGTGACACTGGGGGAAACTGGGAACAGAACCTGCAGTGGAGATTATTTTTATGGTTGGGTTTGTCAGAATTTATTTGCCTAGTACAGAAAGTGTAAGGAACTTCTTTTGGAGCCGGTGGTGGCAGGACGTATCAACCAAACATACAAGCAGGACAATAAAAAACATGAAGATAAAATAGAGGCAAATAGAAAATCAAATATTTGGTGCAAACAGCTGCTTTATGTACCAAATGTCTGTCTGGTGGGGGCCCTTGAGCTGTGGGTCACACTTATGAGCCTCTTTGTCACCCCCCAGAACAAAAGAGACGAACACTTGCTGAAGAAACGCAACGTCCCACAGGAGGAGAGCCTCGAAGACTCTGACATAGATACAGACTTCAAAGGAGTAAGTGTGCTATCACGTCACCGCAGCCCCTGGGTAATCTGGCAGGTTTAGTTGTGTTGTTGTTATCCCTTGTTTGTATGTCAAAGCCGATTGGCTCATTCAGCCTTGAGCCCGCCCATCTTGCGTGCCGTCACGCTCATAGACCAATGACAGGAGATTTAAGCTGCCAGGTGTGGGGGGGGGGGTGTCATATGATTTGTTTTCAGTGTCTCTATTTCTTCCCCTCCTTCTAGCAAAATGTGACACTAGATGTGATCCTACAGGTAAGGCTCAGTAAGCGTGTGGATAATCGTTATGCACTTCTGACGCCCTGTGGGATTGTGGGAAGTGCTAATGTCGTTTTGTGTGCTTCTGAAGAACGCCACCAGTGACAACCCCGTCGTGCAGCTCAGCGCAGTGCAGGCAGCCAGGTGAGGGTGTGTGTGTGTGTGTGTCTGTGTGTGTGTGTGTGTGTGTCTGTGTGTGTGTGTGTGTGTGTC